AAAATAAGGTTTCCACTCGGAGAAGTATGCCTGGGACGGTCAAACCACATCCCACACTGGACTCAAAGGGAACACGGGAGAAGTCAAGTCCCTCGGGTGGGTGGGGTGGGGGCTGGGGTCGCCACCAAGGGAACTCGGGGCGACAAGAAGAAACGTAATACTTGACTCGCCGGCAATGCCCCCTCAGCACTGCCACGAGCTCACGATCGTCCAGCCCTCCGACGGCTCGGCGAGGTAGGTTAGGGGCAGCGGGCTTCCGGCTTCCCGGGCTGCCCCGCGAGGCGGGCGGCGGCTCTGCTGGAGAGCTGGGATCGCTCCGCCAGCCAACACTGTCACTCGCGGGGTGACAGGTCTCTGCGTTAAAAGATTTGCATATGCTAAATAGGATTGTCAGCAGCTGAAGAGGCCCCCGGGGGGAATTGGACTAGAAAAAGTATTTTTCCCTGAAAAGGCCTTCTCACAAGACCCGTGGACCGCCTGGACCCTGCCCCGGACTGTCCCGCGGGCCGGTGCCACCAGGACCCCAGGCTGAGCGAGAGGGGCTGGTCCGGGGCCACGCCGCTCTCTTCCCCAAGGAAGACCACAGTCCAGGCTCCTCCCAGGGCAGGGAACAGTTTGACCACCCCAAGGCTCCTTCCTTCCCGGCACAGGGCCGGTGATGCCCTCCCTGCTCCATCTGGAGCGTCGCTGGGCACCGCGTGGGAGATCCCCCCCTCGCCACACCCGCACACAAGGTGAGAGGCAGAAAGGTCTGGAAAGAGAGCCCTGGCCATGACAACAGATTCCCTTCTTCACACGGCTGAAGCCTGTTCAGCTTCTTAGCCCTAATGGTGCCGGGCTCAGACTTCTCTTCCCGGCCTGTGGGGCAGGGCCTGCCGGGTTTGGGAGCTGGGATAAGCTGGGGGCCAGGCTGTGCGTGGGGCTGGTTCCCTTGTGCCCTTCACCTTAATGTTAATACTCTTGCAGAAGACCGGGCCCTCCTGGGAAGAAAAGGCAACATCAGTGCCCAGGACCGGCCCTGAGACCCGGGCCATTCCCTCCTGGAAGCTTTTTCGTTTCGTACACGTGACCCCACTATGGCCTGCATAAAAACACGGGCGGCAAACAGGACCCTGGGGACCACGGAAGGCCAGAGTGAGCCCCCACTGACAAGAACCCCTCTGCCTGACACGTGCCTGAGGGGAGCCGGGGCCACACGTGGCCCGTGTCTGGCCTCTGTGTGTGGACTGCGTGCACGGGCGCGTGTGAGGCAAGGGGGTCGGCCCTCCTGGCACCACAGCCCCAGCAGCAGGGGAAACCCCTTCTGGGTTTCACTTTTGCTTTGAGAACAGACCTCCAGCAGCTCCACAGACACTCCCGTTTGGAGTGAAGAAAAGGCAGAGTGAATTACTGCCGATGTCCGTGGAAAAAACGTTAGTTCTTTGCCCGAGTAAAAAAATATCAAATATAATAAATTTATGAAAGCCCATCCACGACACGTACAGTCTCAGCTTTGTACTTCGCCTCAGCAGCTGGGACAGCGCTGCCTCGCAGAGCGCCGGGGTGTTGCCTGGCCAGACCCGGCCACCGGCGTGTACCCCGTCTGGTCGGCTCGGCCAACGGCCTCTGGCCGGCGGCGTGGCGGCCACAGAAAGAACTCTGCCTCGTCGATCCATGGGGCCGAGGCCCGTCTCCCACGCCGGAGCCCAAAGCAAGGAGGGCCCAGGGGGTGCTGGCTCGTGGCTGCCTCCCGGCGCGTCCTGGCCGGCTGGGGTGCGGCTCACACGATAGACTCGCGGTCCCGGTCTGGGGAGGCGGGGAAGTCCGCGAGGTCCTCGCTGCGGCTGCAGTCGGACACCCTCACCTGGGGGTTATCGCTGGTGGCCCTGGTGACGCTGTCATAGGAGGGTGGAGAGGACGTGGAGGACGTAGAGGGCGGGCCGCGGCGCCGGGAGAAGTTCTCGTTCATCACGTGGGCGATGAGGCCCTCTTGCTCGGGGGCGTCCTCTTCGGAGAGGCCGCTGCTGCCTGCCTGCTGGCGGAAGAGGAAGGAGGCGTGCTTCATGGAGCGCTGCAGCAGGTGCCTCCGGAAGGCCCGCTGGATGATGGTGGCCGACACCTCCTCGTGCTTGCGCCGCAGCGTGGTGGTGATGGGCTCGTAGGAGATCTTGGACGGGTTGGCCGCCATGAACTTCTCCTCCATCTGGATCTTTAGGGCGTCCATCTCCCCGGACTCACCCAGAACCCTCTTGGTGAAGGCGAAGAGGATGTCCATGCAATGGATACGGTCCCCGCTCACCATGGGCAGGTCCATGTTGATGAGGCTTATCTGGTTGGGCTTGGCGATGCGCAGCGGCTCAGACAAGGCATCGGCGAAGTCGGACAGGGCCGAGTACTCGATGAACTGGGTGGCCTCCGGGTCGAACTTCTCCCAGATCTCATAGAACATGTCGAAGTCGTCCTCGCTCAGGGGCTCAGTGCTCTCCTCCGTGGCCACACTGAAGTTCTCCAGGATGATGGCGATGTACATGTTGACCACGATGAGGAAGGAGATGATGATGTAGGTGGTGAAGAAGAGGATGCCCACGGCCGGGCTCCCACAGTTCCCCCGGGAGCCGTTGCTGTTGGGCAGATTGGGGTCGCAGTAGGGGGGCCCTGTGTTGAGGATGGGGCTGAGGAGGCCGTCCCAGCCGGCCGACGTGGTGATCTGGAAGAGGCACAGCATGCTGTTGGCGAAGGTCTGGAAGTTGAACATGTCGTCGATGCCAGCCTCCCACTTGACGTAGGCGAAGTTGGCCATGCCGAAGATCGAGTAGATGAACATGACGAGGAAGAGCAGCAGCCCTATGTTGAAGAGGGCAGGCAGGGACATCATGAGGGCAAAGAGCAGCGTGCGGATCCCCTTGGCCCCTCGGATCAGCCTGAGGATGCGGCCGATTCGGGCCAGGCGGATGACTCGGAATAGCGTTGGGGAGAAGAAGTACTTCTGGATGATGTCTGAGAGCACAGTGCCTATGGGAAACAACAGAGACCATGGCCACCCATGCACTTCTGTCCTGCCTTTAGCCCCACATCACTGGAGGGGGTGTCTGTACAGCCAGGAGCTAAGGAGAAGAGGCCACTTCAGGAGGACTGGGTTGACCGGGGCAAGCAAAGACCCTGCGTCCCCCCACCTCTCTTGGTCTTTCATTCTCATCTCTGATGCAGGAAAGGAGGACCCAAAGTACCACATCCTTTGCAAAGTGCCTTCCCAGACCTCTCGTCCCTTAGTCTTCTGGGACTACCTGCACAGCAGAGCTGGACGGGACCCATGTTCTAGATCTTGGGTTCTGAGGTCTGAAGGGACTTACTCAGCATCTGGGTGGCCTAGCATGGACCAGAGCTCAGGCTTTTCAGCTTCTCATTACTCAAAGTGCGGTCCGAGGGCCAGCAGCCCTGGGATCTCCCGAGAGCTTATCACAAATGTGGGATCTCAGCTCCACCTCCAGACCCACTGCGCTTTCATAAGCCCAGACGATTCACGGGCACATTGGAGGGCAAGAAGCACCGGCCCAGAAGTCAGGGTTCTCCCCCACGCCACACCTGTCACAACTCAGCCTCTCTGAGATAGCTTCTGTCACCCTCCCAACCCTGCTCGCATCCAGGGCTTCCCACCCCTGGGTCTCTATTGACTAACCCTGGGTTTGGAGTTTGAAGAGGCAGGGATATAAGTTATAGGAGAAAGAGTGAAATACACTTGTTTTGTATTGGCCCACATGACCTTTCCAGATTCCTCACGTAATGTCACTGGCTGACACGTGTCCTGTTTACTGTCAAGAAGGCACTGGGCTGAGCATTTTATATCCATCCATTTAGGCCTTCCGGGCACCCTAGGGGGGAGTAAGCTGATACCATAATCCTCATTTTCCAGAAGAGGAAACTGAGAAGTGAGGTAACTTACCCATGTTGTCACCTAGTCAGTGAGACGCTGGGACTCGACTCAGACACTCTGGCTCCAAGTCGACCTGTTAACCAAGCCTCTGCAGTATGGCCAAGGACCAGGACCGGTAGTGTTCCCTGAAGCCTCTGAGAGTGTCCCTCATCGGCCCCCTTGCTGCGGCTGACATCCTGCATTCTCTAAAGCTTTTCTCTAGTCCCACCAGGCGTGCTCACCCTCACTCTTGCCTGGGACCTCCCAGAGTATTTCCTCACTCTACTTCCAGCTTCTAGCCATCCTCTGTCACTGCGGCTATGACAGCCCCTGCCTTAGCCCCTGTGTTTCCCTCTGAGTTCACCAAAGGCAAAAGCTGTACGTGGCAGAAAGAGGAAAGTCAGCCACCTCATGGCAGAATTGCACGGTGGAGGGGTCAAGAGTTTGGGCTCTGAGCCCAAGCGATGAGAGACAAAAAAAAATTGGGACTTAATCAAAATGAAAAACTTTGTGCTTCAAGAGACGATGACCAAGAAAGTGACAAGACAACCCACGGAATGGGAGGCAGTATTTGCAAATCGTGTATCAGGCGAGGGACCGGTATCCAGAATACGTAAAGAACTCTCACAACTCCACGATAAAAACATAAATAAGCCAATTAAAAAATGAGCGAAGGATGTGCATAGATGCTTCTCCAAGACATTTCTAGTGTTACATACCAAGACAGACACACCACAGAAAATGACCAATGAGCACATGAAAAGATGTTCAGCGTCATTAGTCATTAGGGAAGTGTGAACCCAAACCTCAACGTGGTTATCACTTCGTGCCCACCAAGGTGACTATAGTAAGAAACTGAAGACGACAACAAGTGTTGGCGAGGGTGTGGAGTAACTGGAACCATTATACATCGATGATGGGAATGTGTCTACTTTGGAAAACAGCTTGGCAGTCTCTCAAAATTTTAGATTAATGGTTTCCAGGGGCTGGGGGGACGGAAAATGGGGAGTGACTGCTAAAAGGGTATGGAGTTCCTTTTGGTGGTGAGGGCAGTCGCCTAAAAGGTATGGCGGTGATGGTTGCACAACTCTGTGAATATACTAAAAACGACTAAATCTACTTTAAAGGGTAAATCTTATGGTATGTGAATTGTAGCTCAATACAATTGTGCTGGTTATGAACCAGGAAAAGGACCCTCACCAGAAAACATGACCGTGCTGGTGCCTTAATCGGGGACTTTCAGCCTCCAGGACTGTGAGAAATAAATTTCTGTCATTTCTGAGTTAGCCAGTCTGGTGTTTGGTTAGAGCACCCCAGACAGACTAAGTGTGAATCCTCTCTCTTCCGTCCCCAGTTGCCTGATATCCTCGTCTCACCGCTGACTTTATAAGGCGGAATGCACGAGGTGAGTGATGTCTGAAGGAGCCTGGCCCACAATGTGGTGACTAGACTCTAGAATTTTCCATCTCCAGGGATAACTTCTACCCTAGAGGGCCACCTGCTCCCATCCCTGGAGACTCACCTCACCCTGAGTAAGCCCCTTCTTCCTTCAACCTAGGCTGCAGGCTTTCCCTTGGGAGGGCAGGGAAGTCTGCCCAGCCCCCGCTCTCCTTCCCAGACTCATTCTTGAAGCTCTCACAGAGAGCAGAAAGCTGTGTTCCAGGGTCCCATGGAGTGGGGGGGCATGAGGGGGTGCCGGCTTCTCTGCCAGAATGGCTCCCCTGGACTGAGTAGGCCTTCCCAGACAAGTTCTCTGTGGCTGTGTGTGTATGTGTGTGTGGTAGGGAGAGGTGAGGAATGCAGAGAAAAGAACGGAGAAGACTAGTATGCTTGGCATTAAGTACAGACCCGGGACTGGAGGAAAGGCCAACTTGCATACCCACCCACGATGGAGAGGATGACAACCACGAAGTCGAAGATGTTCCAGCTGTTGGTGAAATAATAGTGACGCAGGGCAGCCATCTTGATGATACACTCGCCTGTGAAGATGGCTACGAAGAGCAGGTTGATCTTGGCCAAGATGTTGACCTTCTCGGGGCTCTGGTCATCTGTCTCCACCATCATGGTCACCATGTTCAAGCAGATAAGGAACATGATGGTGACATCGAAGGCTTGCTTGGTCACAATGTCAAACAGGAAGCCCTGGTACTTGTTCTGAAGGGAGGGGGAAAGGATGGGCTCAGCAGGGGCCTCAGATGGGCTAGTAGGCCCCCTGTTGCTGCCCCTCTGCTCAGACCTTCCACCCTCCTACTGTACCCTCCGCTGAGGCCGACACCCCAGCCAGACTGTCAGGGTGAGGGGAGGAGTCAGGAAAGGGAAACAGCCGGTCTCTCCTGCTTCCAGGCCCGGCCCTCAGGCCCCCTCTTCTCTGAGGTCTTCCCCATCCACCTTCAGGAAGGGATTTCTCCTACCCTGAGCTTCCTTAGAACACGCACTGTGCTTCTCTTTTTGTTTGTACCGATGGCTCAAGGTCAGGTTTAAAGTTCAATCTGGAAATTGGATCGGCCCTCAGGTTAACAAATTTTTTCCACTCTTTATGGAATTGACTTTTTTTAGCTGTTTATTTATTTTGAGAGGGAGAGGAAGACGGAGAGGGAGAAGGAGAGAGAGAGAGAGAAAGAGAGAGGGAGAGAATGCCCAGCTGGCTCTACACTGTCAGCACAGAGCCCAACACAGGGCTCAATCTCACAAACTGAGATCATGACCTGAGCCCAAATCAAGAGTTGATGTTTAACTGACTGAGCCTCCCAGGTGCCCCTGGAATTGATTTTATTTATTCAATTAACTATATTTGTATGTCTTTAATTGTTAGCCACCTCCGATTATTTGGGGGAAAAACAGAAGATTACAAATAAGTGAACACAGGGATGCCTACGTGGCTCAGTGGGTTAAGCATCTGAGTTCAGCTCAGGTCATGATCTCATGGTTCATGAGTTCAAGCCCCACGTCGGGCTCTGTGCTGACAGCTCAGAGCCTGGAGCCTGCTTCGGATTCTGTGTCTCCCTCTCTCTCTCTGCCTCTCCCCCACTCACGCTCTGTCTTCCTCTCAAAAATAAACAAACATTTAAAAAAAAAAATAAGTGAACACACACACACACACACACACACAGCTAACCTAGAATAAAGCATGGTGAAAGGGTAGGAATTAGGCAAAATCGATGAGATGGATTTCAAAACTGGGCCTGTCACTTCCTAGCTAGTGATTTGGGTTGTGTCACCTAATTACTTTGAACACTGTCCTCCACCCCCTTTTCTAGAGAGGGGCTTCGTCAGTCAGCCCACATGCCAGGGGACTCTGGGCCACGTCTGTCCCACTCAGGGGTTGCCAGGAAGAGGCTGTGAATGCGGGTGGGTGTGCAGAGGCCGTCCTGCTCTCCCTGGGAAAGGCTGCACTCCGGCAGGGGGGGAGGGAGCTCTTGGAGGCAGAGGAACTCCCGTGGGAGGGAGTGCTCCTGGTTGTAACAGTCCTCCCAGGCCTTCCTCACTTTCTCCAGCAGTCTGAGGCCTCCGTGTGGTCAGAGGCCTGACAGAGCCCCTCCGTCCCTGGGCTGACCGAGGGCCCTGGGCTAGGCTGAGAGACTGTGAAGAGGCCTTGATAGCTGGTCCTGGGGAGGGGGGCTTCCCAGGCCCCCTCAGCACATCCTCCCCTCTCCTGCTGAATCGGGAACTGGCTCACCAGGGGCCGAGGGATGGGCTTCTGGGGCTTCTTGGAGCCCAGCTTCTTCATGGCATTATAGTACTTCTTCTGCTCCTCTGTCATGAAGATGTCCTGGCCCCCTAAGTGCAGAGAGACAGGCACCAGACTCATTTTGGGGTTCCTAGG